CCATTGCCCAGCTGGAATAGGGCATGTCCATCTCCACTTCGACAGCGTGCACAGCAGGTCACGCTTCCACATGAACTGTACTGTCGACATGGTATGCATAATGATTATTTCAGAATTATTTTAGAGTCGTAGTGAGTTATTTTGTTCAATGTTTTGTTGGGTTTCATACTTTTGCCAACTCTGGTATGAACGGTTCACTTAGTTGAAACACCAAATAGTTTTGTTAAATTTTACATATTTTTCTTACTTTTGGCTCTACATACTCCAGTCACTTGTCACTCGTGACTGGAGCTTGAAGCCGTGTGTATATATCAGTTGTTCCGTATATGCCCGCTTTGTTGTAGTGGCTGATACCCACGTGCGAATACATTAAAGGTATTTTCATTCATATAATGCCGCTCACTAGACGACAACATTAAAAAGCCTATTTTCTCGTGTTTTGTATTCTACACGCACGAACAGAGCAAGACAATGCAACGATATTGACAGTTTAAACTAGTAGGAAAACAGACAGCAATACTGTCACATTTATTGACTCAGCAGTTAATCACACAAATAAAAAAGAAAATGCTCGACAGAAAAGTTAGTTTGGCAAGCGGAATTCGCTACGATCGAAAAAATGGAACTCGAAGATAAAGCTGTAATGCTCTGCCGACTGTGTGACAAACAAGGAGAATAATGAACATAATATTTTCACAAAAGATTTGAGATTTGCAGAAATCGGAACTGATGCGACACCTGGTCATACTCGGACACAGGAGAGCTGTAATGAACGAGGAGAGTAGTCGAAATCTTGGAGCTGTATTCGAAGGTAATGAAACCCAGTCCGACACAACACGGAAAACCGTTTTTCGCACGGTATTTTTATTCAAACAATAATTCATGTTACCAAATTGTTTAAAAAAATGTTTATGAAGGGTTGCCAGGTATTTAATTCTAAAGACACTTCAATCCCAACACACCATTTGAATGTAATAGAAATGCTGGAAGCTATTGCCGAGACATTAAGATGTTAAAAGAAAAATGTAGAAAGTTCCTTGATCGGAATTCTTGTTGAAGAAATTGTGTTTTTACCGAGTAGTGAATGAAGACGGCACAGCGGAAACTATTTTTGATGGTAACTATACTGCTCAAAGTGGTGATGCTGGAACAATTTTTAATAAAATGCAAGAATTAGTAAACGAAAAAGGGAGACAACCTGTTAAGCAAATTGTTCGGACAAAGGTCTGACGGCGTGACTGTCGTAATGATAAAATAGACTCGCTGCTAAATACATTATACAAATGACAAACCATGACAATAACAATGAAGTAAGAACAACTAAAACGAGAGACAAATCATGCCTGGCGCCATCGGATTCTAGTCATATTCATTATGTTTCTATGCTTATAATTAAAACAGTTTAGATCACTTACTGGGAACACTGCAGGTGTCGCCGAAGTACGGTTCTTTTGCACGGCAGATGCATTGAGAGTCTACATCACTAGATACACACCACGAAAACGCCATACAGTTAGTGGTCGAACACGCAGACAATTCCATGGCAATCTGAATAATAAAGAATGAAAACCAAATTCATTATCTTGAACTTTCGTTGATGCAGAATACATGGGTGAAAATATATTACCGATTGGGTCACGAATAATTTCTCGAAGTTATACCAGTTTGAAAATGTTGCATATTCGGTCGAGTGTTGCTCTCAAATACGACCGCTCGTATTCATATAAAACGTGTATTTAGATGACTATGTGTTAAGCTGACTAATCGCCTGTACCTGTTCGCCTGTGATTTGCGGCATATCATTTTTTGATACAAATAACCAACCCTTCCTTGAGGTGAGTTGATCTTCCTCGAACGTCTCGTGAATGTAGCACTGTCTTTCAAATGAACTATAACTGAACGCTTCACATGCATCTCCTAGCTTACGACACTCGCCAAAGCACATCAGTGAACTGTAGCTCTTAATAAATTTATCCATTATTCCATGCTGTGCAGTATCGTAGCGAATTCGTGGTGGTGAACCAGCAAAGACTGATGATGCTATGGTGTACTTGCACTGCTGTAATGATAACAGCAATACCAACGTCGGCACAGAAACCAACATGTTGCCATGTACATGTACTGGAGCCGAATGAAGCAGTATCGCCGATACAAAGAGAATAAACAATAATTTAATGGTCTGAGTTATTGCTATAATTACTTAGTAGATCCTCAATTTTATCCAGAAAGTTATTAAAAATGAAAAGTGACAGTATGAACATAAACTGTGCATATATGAAACCTTTGATACGTTTTTCATTCCATCTAATTGCGCTTTTTATTATCTGTGATCGGTCCATTGACTGCATTGTCTCCATCGGTATTCGTGTTCATAACGCAATATATTACATTTATGAGACTGTTGAGCTTTGTTTGTAATCGGCTGAAAGTTTCTGCGTGACTAAATGTCACGACGAAATGTTGTGTACGTTATTTTGTGCAGATCGCATTCTGGCATTCAAATGTTGTGTTCTGTGCGTCAAAGATACATTTTTGCTGGGAGCAGAAGAAATGGAGAAAATGCAAAAAGTTCGATAGAAATATTTGAAATATACAAACAGACAACGAATCAAATAACGAACACACAGACAAATAATAACTGCCTTCATTGCATTGTATTTTTTTAATCTGAAACACTTGAAAAATGAAAACAGGAATGTTTGAGGAGTGCGAGTGTCAACCAATCTACATATATACCTTAAATTATTGAAAGTGGCAAATACTCATCTTGATAACTGTGTTGCTAATTTAATGATGACACATATAAAACAATTGTAAGTGCCTCGAATGAGAACGCGTGTGGCCTTTGGAATGTTTTCATTCTGTATTGTGCATTGCATCATGGAGAAAAGATATAAATATACGAGATTTGCATGGTAAAAATAACTATACCATTTGAGGTACCGATGCAGGTCGATTGGCGCTCGTAGTTCTTATGTCATACTTTTACTTGTTATATATAATTAGACGGAGTTGGCTACGTACTGTTAAGTTTTCATGGCTCTGTCGAAAACTTATTTAAAAAGTGATTTAAAAATATTTATTTGCTTTTATTTATAATGGGCATTATCCTCGATTTGGTGCTTCATATGGTGAAAGTGTTTCAAACTTAGAGAGTTAATAGAGTCTGTCTTCACAAGATTTCAAAATTTAACAACATTTAGCTTGTGTGTCTCTGAAAAAAGCTTTTTTGGAAGCATATGACGACTCGTCTAGATTTCAATACGCAAGCACACTTGTTTGGCAGCCTGTTTGACACATTGCTACGAGAGAGCAAACAGAATATCAATACTTCTAGACATGAAGATAGTATCATGGGTTAAATAAGCACAACAAAAGGTTTGGTTTTACATGTTAGAATCGGAGATGAAATGGCTACCATCATTTGCCTTCACGCAAAAAGCTAAAAACACCAAGAAAATGACTTTTACAATCAATACTTGGCGTCCCTTTGGTCGTTGTTGGTTTGCCACGATTCAACAAATAAATAAATGAATAATGAAATCCCCTAAACTGTTTAGCGCCCCATGACATATCACCTTATGCGAATGTGGTGATTTGTGATGACTTACAATAAAACAGAAGTTTAAAGATACAAAGGTGGTTAAAACTCTCATATAAACAAGACGATTACTGTTCTGTTCAATGCTATTAATGGTAAACTTTCCTTTGGGCGGAGCTACGTCACAGAACGTGCACCACTGTACCATGTATTTCTATGGGCTGCTGGTCGAAGAGTCTGTGAAAATAGCTAAATTCAAGAAAACAACAAAAACTCAAACTCAACTTTGATGTCCGCCCTGAGAATATGGAAGTTCTGCCAGTGTCGTTTACAAGCAAATAATAATTCGTTTTCATGCCTCACGTCTAAAAGTCGCGTTTCAAGCACTGGAATTCGAATACACAATTTAGGATGCGGGTTAATGTTGAATCCCTGAAAATGTATTTGAATGTCATTTTATCCAATAAGCACCCTCTTTGTGGTTATATGTCATAAAGTATTGTTTGTATTAGATCGCGTTGAACGATTGTAAACCATTGTTCCGTGACGTAAGACGTGTTTTATTATCATTGCAAATTATTACTGTACACAAATATAAATCAGCAAAAACAGTTTTTTTGGCAAAGACTACATTCAAGTATCCTTTTTCATGTTTTTCATTTCAACTATGTGCGTGTTCTTATCACCTGTCGGTCAGTTCATTGCCTATATTGTCTCTGTCAGTATTCCTATTCTTGTCGCAATATATTACGTTAATAAGAGTGTTAAATACTTGTTATAATCGACCGAAAGTTCCCGCATG